CCGACTCATAGCGACCCCTCCTTGGGTTTCCGAGGCAGTATCACTACGGAAGTAGGATTGCCCAACCTTCCTTCCGAGGAGTGGCTGGTGGGACATGAAAATAGGAAAAAAAAAAAAAAAAAGTAATATATATTCAAATTCCTAGTTTTCAAAATGAGAAAGGTATTCTCTTGCAGGTGAGACAGTGAGGGAAGTTACAGGTGAAACGTATGGCACATCTCCCTAAATCACTGGTTTTTCTCAGATTTTGTGAGAAAAGGCACATTATTTTTATCCAAGTTAACAGAGATAGCCTATGGAATAGAGGCAAACTTTACTTTAAGTGAAATTCCCAACTCAATTTTTCTTTCCTGCAGCAGACCACTTGTGCACTTACCTTGAGACCTCCATCTCAGGAGCACTCTTTCTTCTCTGCTGCTGAGGAATACGTTGATGAAATGGTTTGAAAAATGGATCGACTCGAGGCAGAGGACTAGATCTGTTAGAACAGATTTAAAATTTTCATCAAGATTTGAAATTTTACACTAGATATAAATGAGCCAGTGTGACCAGTGAAAACTATACAGTAGCATTAGGAGAACCATATAGAGAAATCTGTTGTGCACTGATTTGTGTTGGAACTTGTGGCAAGTCATTTCACTTTTCTTTACTCTGATTCTTCTCTTATAAAATAGAGTTCATCAGGTCTGCCTTTCCTTCCTTCCTCATTTGTTCATTTATTCATTTTCAGCATCTAGCATGTTGTAAGCATTGCAGTGGTCTCTGCAGAATATACTAGCTGCAGACTGGCCCACCTAGAGGTGAGGGAGAAGACAGAATACCTGGAACTGTAATTCAAAGTAGATTAAGAAAAGTCCCACAGGAGGCTATTTGGTGAGGAACCCAGAGATTCTGCCTGAATGGTAAATCTGCAAGGGCTTTGGGAGAGCACTGGAGATTCAATTTGAGCTAGGCACTGAGAATAGCTAGGATTGCAGGCATGCAAATACATCAAAGTGAAAAAGAGTAAGGTGTGTTCTGGGTACAGAGGGCCTTCTAGTGTGGGTGAAGCACAGAAAGGGGAGTGGAGGGGTGCTATAAGACCAGAAAGACAAGTTGAGGCAACACAATGGTGAATGCAAAGGGGAGTTTTTATGTGTGCTGACTTGGCCTGCCATGAGTAGCCACTGAAGATGAGAGAACAGTTGGGGTAATGTAGTAGAGAACAGATGGATTAAAACCAAGCTTCAAAAGCCTTAAGGGACAGTGGGGGTAGGATGAAAGGAATAGATGAAGAGGTGGAAGGTTGGTCAGAGGCTGTTTCAGTAATCCTCATGACTTATGTGTTGTTGTTGTTATGTGCCTTTGAATCAGACCCAACTCATAGGGACCCCTCCTTGGGTTTCTGAGGCGGTATCACTATGGAAGTAGATTGCCCAACCTTCCTTCTGAAGAGTAGCTGGTGGGTTTGAACTGCCAGCCTTCTGGTTAGCAGTCAAGTGCCTTAGGTACTACACTACCAGAACTCCTTGATGACTTATAATTTTTCATAAATTAGAGCTGGGATAGAATCAACAAGGGGGGTAGTGATGAGAAAGGCACTGCAGAGATTAAATCTTCAGGTTGTAGGAAATTATTGGCTAAAGTGTGTGAAAGTGGAGTTAAATGTAAAATTACCTATGGCTTCTGAGTCTGACTGACTAGGTTGGTAACCTGGAAGTGAGGAAAGAAAGGTGTCCAGGGCACAGAATTTAAGGAGGCCTGACTTACTGGTGGCGTAGTGCCTAAAGCATTTGACTGCTAACCAGAAGGCTAGTGGTTCAAACCCACCAGCCGCTCCTCAGAAGGAAGATTGGGCGATCTATTTTTGTAGAGATACCTCCTCGGAAACCCAAGGAGGGGTCACTATGAGTCAGAACCGACGCAAAGGCAATGAGCTTGGTTTTTGGTTTGGACTTCCTATCAGGCTCTTTCAAGTGGAAGAATGCCCAGGCCACTCTTGCTTCCCTCATCGTTCATGGTCCCTGGTTACTCCTGACAGAAATTAAAGGAGGAACTGGTTAAGAAGGAAAGATGATGAGTCCAATTTTGGATAGGCTGAATTGAGAGTTTAAGGTGTCCAAAGAAAGATGTGTATCAAGGCAATTAGAATATTGGTTTAGAGTACAAGAGAGTGGTGGTGGAGGGGAAGGAGAATATGAATGAATAAGGCAGTGGTTGAACCCCTTGGAAATGGATTCAGTTGCCTAGATCCAAGGTCATACCCTCATGGCCCATACAGATATTTTTAAAAGAACAATTGCAGCAATCACTTGTTTAGCACTTACTTATATAGCAGGTACTTTACATTGTGTTTACCCTGTGCCAAACACTGGTTTTCACACTTTATATATATTAACTTATCTAGTCCTTGTTGTGCCTAAGACATTTGACTGCCAGCCAGAAAGCTGGTGGTTCAAACCCACCAGGCACTCCTCGTAAGGAAGATTGGGCAATCTACTTCTGTAGTGATACTGCCTCGGAAACCCAAGGAGGGGTCACTGTGAGTAGGACCCACCTTGACGGCAGTGAGTTTGGTTTTGGTTTTAGTCCTCATTTAGGAGACTCTGGTGGTGTAGTGCCTAAGACATTTTGACTGCTAACCAGAAGGCTGGCAGTCCAAACCCACCAGCCACTCCTCAGAATGAAGACTGGGCAATCTACTTCCATAAAGATACCACCTCAGAAACCCGAAGAGGGGTCACTATGAGTCCGAATCAACTCGACAGCAGTGAGTTTGGTATTTTTGGTTTTAGTCCTCACTACAGAGGAGTTCTAGTTCACAGTGGTTAAAGCATTTGGCTGCTAACCAAAATATTGGCAGTTTGAACCTACTACCCGCTCTGTGGGAGAAAGATGAGGCAGTCTGCTTCCTTAAAGACTTACAGCCTTGGAAACTCTATGGGGCAGTACTAGTATGTCTTATAGGGTTGCTATGATTTGGAGTCAACTTGATGGCAGTGGGTTTGGTTTTTTGTTAATCCTCACTATTTCCTGAGGTAGGTTTGGCAACTGTTCCCATTTCACACCAAAACCTGGACAGTCAGACTCCACAACTTGTGCACTTTATCTCTGTGTTCTACTGACTGGTATTTGGATGCCTTCATTTGGGACACGATTCACAGTTGTCTTAAACCTGCATGCCCCTGACAGCAGTTCACACAGAGCATAGTTAATGATACCATATAGGAGGACCAGTGCAGGACAGGAACTTGCAGAATGTGTGTGGTTGCAGACAGAGTAGAAGAAATGCCAGAGGTATCAGGAAAGGGAAGTCATAAGTAGAACCAGGACAGAGCTGGGTCACGGCTGCTGCCAGAGATAAATAATCAGGAGAGGGATTCTCCCCAAGGTTGAGAAGGTTGTGTCTGGGTAAAGCCATGGAAATTGCAGATTGAGGAGTTATTGGCAGTCTTTGGTAGAGCAGCTCTAGCAATACTGGAAGGGAAACTCATTTTAGGGAAATGAATGAGATACCAAAGCAAGGAAAGGGTATAGAGATTTTGCTGAGTGGGGGCAGAGACCCAGAGAGCCAAAGCTCAAAGAAATGACTGAGACTGTGCACAAAATTTGTAAATGTTACAAAGACTGACTGTGGGGCCTGGGAGAGGCAACCAGGAATAGTGACAGGGAGTACTGGAGGGAAATCTTGTTTTTATCCTTTACTGTGTAACCTAGGGAAAGTTGTTGAACTTCTCTGAGCCTTGCTTTCCACATTACTGAGTGGAATAATATTATTTAAGCTGCTCTGAAAATACATATAAAAATATATAAATGTCTGGCATAGAGCAAGTATTCAGTATATGGTCCATGCTATTATGATGGTGATGAATTCCTTCTTAAATATGTAATATTATTAAATTTTATAAAGTTATTTCTTTCTAAACCCCAACCAGAAAAAAGAAAATAAATCATTAACACCAGCTGTACCATCTGAATCCAAACCGAGTAAGCCATCTGGAAAGGTATGAAGATAACAGTGCATTTCCTAAGATATTTATTCATATTCTTAGTGTGTATTATAATCTGCTATATTGTGAGAAAAGAATAAGAGGGAATAATTTGTAGTTTAGTGCCTAAGGCACTTGACTGCTAACCAGAAGGCTGGTGGTTCAAACCCATCAGCCACTCCTTGGAAGGAAGGTTGGGCGATCTACTTCCATAGTGATAGCATCTCAGAAACCCAAGGACAGGTTGCTATGAGTTGGGTCCGACTCGATGCCACATAACAACAACAACAACAACATTTAATGAACTATTGTTCCACGCTAATAGGATTAGATTCAAAGTGTCCATGCATTATGAACAAGTAGTATTCTGTCATGGAAGATTTAACATTTTATATTATGGACTTCTGTTTTGAAAACTCATGTTATATTCCATTAAGTTTGCATTCCAGTTTCATTCCTGAAAAACATACCTTCTTTAACCAGAGGTATCACTAAAGAATAGTAGTCAGCTCTTTATCTCTGAAACTCACAAAAGAGTCAGCCTAAAGCTTACTAACAGACCCCAGGTTCCATTACACACATCCACAACTTGGTGAGTCCTAAGTTTGTAGTGGGAGTATACCAAATACCAAAATTGTTCAGTGCAAAATGTTGCAATAAACATTTTAAACCATCGTTTTAATCTTGAGTTAAATGCTAAAGGTTCTTTCCCCAGTTTAATGTTTTCCCTTTAGATCCAGATTATTGTCCACAATGATTCATTCCTAACTTCAAAAATAGAATGAAGACACTCTTCCGTTCACTATACTGATTTAAACTCATACCAACAAAGTAGATCATCACTCCTTGTCACCACTTCTGAGTAATTTCAGTTTTGTAAACATCTTCAGACAATAAAGTGAACCAAAGAACACAAATGAATGAAAGGGCACATGGCAAACCACTTTTGAAATAGATTCTATTTGGAGAAGGTGTTACATGGAGATTTTGTTGGAGTTTTTTTGTATGTGACTCTGGAAAACTATTGAGATATAATATCTACCACACATTTCTCCTATGCTTATAGCAACATGGTCATAATTCTTTTTTATTTTGTTTTGTTCTTCTTTTCCTGTGAGAACATTGGACAGGAGGCTTTAATGAATTCATAATTTTATTCATGTAGTTAATACCTTTAAACTTACTGAAATTGTGATTTTTACCTGAATGTTGGTTTTTATCTTTCCAACATAAACTCTGTACTCTGGGACTTTAAATTATGAGTTTAATTTTTACTTTAGAAACCAGATTTTAACTGTTTTGATATTGAAGAACGTTTGGTATTTGGTATTTTCTATGTGGAATGGTGTATTTTGTAAAAACCCCAAGCGAAACATGTATAACACACGTATTTCTCTCTTTTCCAGTCAGGCATGGATGCTGCTTTGGATGACTTAATAGGCACTTTGGGAGAACCTGAAGAAACTGAAGAGGATACTACAGCATATACTGGACCAGAAGTTTTGGTATGTGATCTTGAGATCTGTAAAAAGTCATTGCTAATGGGCAGAAGAGTAAATAAGGTCATTAAGTGCAAGACAATACCTACTGTTCTGTCGCTTGTATAGAAACAGGCTGATAACAGCTTCATAGAAACAAAGTGGTAACAGCTTCAATGATAACCACTAAACATTAGTATTGGTGGTTGGAGATTGTTTGTCCTGTCGTAGCTACTACTATTACATTGATGGCCTGCACAGAGAATGGCGTGTTGGTTCACAAAGACTTATTTTCTGTCCTCAAGATTTAAGCCGAATCACTTGAACTTATTTTGATTTCCAAATATTTCCTGCCCTCACTTCATTCCTATTCTGAGCGACAAAGTTGTATATTCCTTGGTATTACCAAAAAAAAAAAAAAAAAAAAGGCCAAGCCAAGCCATAGATTGGAAGAAAATATTTGCAACAGACATAACAAAGAATTTGCTCCCAGACTTTATAAAGAATTAAGAAAACCGTGAGAAGAAGACAACCCGATAGAAAAACAATACGAAGCTCAATGGGCTGATGAACAAGTAAAAGGAGTTCTTAGTAATTAAAACATGGAGAGATACTACCTTACAGTTACCAGATTGGCAAATGTGTGAAAGTCTGACAACTCACCTACAGCTGGTGGGTGTTGAAGATACACATATTTGTCAACCATCAATTCCATGTCTAGAGGAATTCCCTGGAGGGAGCCTTATCCACGGGTACAGGGTATGAGAGCTGGTGAAGCATTTGGGAACGATTTTGTTCATCAACAGGATACAGGACAATAATATTATGGAATACTTTATAGTGGTTAGAATGCTTTATTCATGTATTAAAAAAACATAATTTTGCATAAAAATAATGTAGAATGATATGTAGATTATAACACCATTTATATAACATGTGATAATAAAGTAATGCTATATATTATAAATAGATGCCTACATGTGTAATAATGGTTTTAAAATATGTTCAACTTCAAGTGGATGGACCTGATAAATGTAAAATTCAAGATGGCGGCTACCAATGGGGAAATGGAATTGGAGAGGACTAAATAGGAGGCATTCGCTTCATCTGTGATTTTTTTTTTCTTAGAAATTACATAATAAATAACAAGATCTGATAGTGTTGAGTTTTACAGAAATTCTTTGTTATTAACTGTACTTTTGTATATATTAGAAATATTAGATAATAAAAAACATTCAAACAAAATGTATTATTCATATAGGAATCAATTTCAGTGTAGTATTTTGAATATTTTGTAATAAGACATACAGGGTAGGCTGATTAAATATATGGGAAAGTATTTGTATGAATTTAGAATTTCAGAGTTGTTTCAAGTACTGGCTTCTAAATAATTTATATTTTATCTCATTAGTATAGGATTTGATTTCATAATATGCACATAATCTTCTCAACTAATTAATTACATGATATCCCTATGTGTGTGATTTTATTCCAGGATCCAATGATATCCACTTATATAGAAGAATTGGGTAAAAGAGAAGTTACAATTCCTCCAAAATATAGGGAACTTCTGGCTGTAAGTTAAATAATCATTTATTTTTATCTCACTGTTTACTTTTTTGGAAGGTAATTTTTTTTTATCAAATCAATGTCTTCACAGTTTTTTAAGTTTAGACAGTACAATGGGACACATGAAACTCATTTATATTACTGTGATGTTCACTCAACAGTACAGCTTGACAATCGTAAGGAATTATTTTGAAAAATAGATGCCTTCTTAATACTATCAAATTGACATTTGTTTCAGAAAAATGAAGGACTCTTACAGCCTCCTGCAGACTCTTCGGTGAGTTTGTGTATCTGCCTTCTAAAATCTAAATTAACATATTTCACATATTTGATTGGACTGGCATTCTGTAATCAGTTAACTCTAAATTCTGTATTCTAACTTCTAAATCAGATGATATTACCATCTGTTCAGAGAAAGGAGGTGGTTGTGGAGGTGTCTTAGTTCTCATAGGTTTCATACATAGTTTTTTGGGAGGGAAGAAGAGTGGAGCCAAGAAAGTGTGAAGATTAATATAAAACAAATGTTAATAAAATTAAAATGAGAATATCCTAATGTAATACCTTTAGAAGAGGGAAAGGGGAAAATAACATTTACTGAACACCCACCCCCTTCCAAACATAGGCTTTTCTCTGAGTTATTTCATCACTATATCTGGTTTGGTAGGAAAGAAATTGCAAAACTACATTCTTCATTTGCTGGGCTTACAAGAAGTGGGTTCTTTCACTTGAGTGATTTCCAAGTCTTACCAGTCCTTGTGTCTATTTCTTTAGAAACCCATGGGGCCTGAAGATGCTATAGATGCCTTGTCATCTGACTTCACCTGCAGTTCTCCTACCACTGGTAGAAAGAAAACTGAGAAAAAGGTATTGTTTTCAGTCTATTAGGGGAAACATATTAGAAACCACTCCTGATTTTGAAATAACAGCATTTTAGATACTATTGTCACAATTACATTTTCTTCATCTGTAACTCTGATCTTTTGCATTGTATTTTTCAGAAATCTACAGGAGAGGTTTTAAAAGCTCAGTCAGCTGGGCCAATCCAAAGTGCTGCTCCACCCCATGAGAAGAAGAGAAAGGTGGAGAAGGTATAAATAATTGCTTCTTTACAATATCCTGGATCCACCTGAGCCTGAGCTAATTTATTCGGGAGAATCCCAGCAGTGCATTACACTATATGAGGTGCATCTTCTCTTTGTTGGGTCTTTGTGGAACAGGGAAACCACTACAGGTTGCAAAGCTAAATGCATGGGTATATTGGTTGTCTCTGGGCAGACCTTGTATGTTTCTATAAAGTCTTAAGACTGACTTTAGCACGGCCTTCTTAGTGGTGAAACAAGACTATATCACTGTTAAAATACACAGAAGGGTAGGAAACCAGGGAAATTATACTCTTGGAACATTCTGTCTTCAATCTTGATTTTCTAAAGGGGCCTAATGGAGTTTGAACCCTGCAGTTCACTGGAGAGATTGTTGTAACTGCTTCTGCCTACCTCTCTTAAGAAACAATTGCTGTGGAGTTGACTCCAACTCATGGCAACCCCATGTTGTCAGAGGAGGACTATGCTTCTTAGGATTTTTGGTGGCTCATCTTTCTAAAGTAGATCACCAGGCCTTTCTTCTGAGGCACTGTTGGGTGGACTGGAAGCTCCAGCCTTTGGGTTAGCAGCCAGGAGTGCTGTTTGTACCACCCAGGGACTCACAATAAACTATGATTTGTTGTTGTTGTTATGTGCCATCTAGTCTTAGTTCTCACAAATCCCAAATGATGATCCTACAACTCTGGGCTGCAAAAGAAGCTTGCTCTCTCTAGAAACAGAATAATGTTAAAGAACAGTTCCTGTCAGAGCTTCTGCCTCTCCCCTCCTCGTGTGGACAGTTTGTTTTTATCTGGCTGGCTGAGGGAGCAGTTGAGAGTACCACACCCCTGAGAGCGGGAGTAACTACAACGATCAGCCTTTGTGCTGTCAGAGAAGAGAAAAGCCAGCCACTTCCAGTTTCCCTGCTTCTTGAGCCTAGCTGTTTTGCTACAAGGCAGGGCTATCAGAAGTCACTTTTAGAGAAAGAAAAACAGGATAGTGCAAGTTTACTACTTGGAGCTTTTATTTTGATAAAAGTATTTTGTCATTATATAATTACATAGTTTTAATTCTGGCTTGCTAAGTAAGGAGTCACGTTTGCCACTGAGAGCACGGTTCTTGTAAAAACGTGTCTTAACCCCAGTTTTCACTCACTGGTAAGTTCTTTTTCCTTTTTCTCTTTTTTTGCTAGATTTCAAAGAAATCTCCTTCCAAAAGTCCTTCCCCACACCACAATTCATCTTTTTTATTTATAATTTGTACTTCACCAATAAATAGATTGTTGTGTCTGAGGAAATGGTCTCCTTTTTAATGTAAAGAATTTTTTAAATTTTTGACAGGATACAATGAGTGATGAAGCACTTGATGCCCTCTCTGCTTCACTGGGCACCCGGAAACCAGAGCCAGAGCTAGACCTGAGTTCTATTAAGGAGGTTGATGAGGTACTGTACATGGAGTTAATATTACAATGTATTAGTCTACAGGTTGCAAAGCTAAATGCATGATGCGTGTGTAGAATTCTCACACAACTTTTATTTTATTCAAGAGTTGAAATGAACTGCTCTGCATTCTGCCTCACTCTGATAGTCTGATTATTATAGATATTTATTACTGGGTAGTTAGCAACCGAGAGGGATATTTGAGTCTTTGTCTTGTAAAATATCTAGAATTTTAATATTTAGCATGAACACTGATCTCCTTTGCCAAAGCATAAATGACACATGACTAAACAAGATAACACAGTGTCAGTGGCCTAGTGAGAAATAATGAGGTCTGCCTGCTTTCATGGAGAGTGGATATTTCTGTTATCAGAAGGTTTCTGAGTGCCTCCATTTATATGAAGGAGCTCTAGTGGTGTAGTGGTTAAGGCATTTGGCTGCTAACCAATAAAGTCAGTGGGTTGAACCCATTCCATGGAAGAAAGATGAAGCAATTTGCTTCTCTAAAGATTTACAGCCTTAGAAACCCAGTGGTTGTCACTATGAGTTGGTTTGGTTTGGTTGGGTTTCCATTATTTATAAGGCAAGAAGGAGATGGAGGTAGGTGGTATGGACATCCCTCCTTTATAACTATGAGGAAAGATATTCAAATAGTTTTTGAAACCATAATAAAATTAATCAGTCTCAACCAGAAGTCCTAAATATTTAGAATGATATTGATAAGTGTTTATCCCTCCATACTCTAAGATCTTAACATGCCTTCTGAGCCAGACAAGCTTATATTTGGTATCGGAGGAGGTTTTAGTGTTAAATTACATTTTTTTTTTTTTTTTTGGTGGAATTATTTAGACTCAGTCTTCTGGGGAAAATGATGGGGACATGGGGAAGGGAAGGAAAGAATTGTCTTGGGGATATTCCCAACAAGACAGGTTAGTAGGGGAGATGGAATCCTGGCTGTGGGAGGGGGAGGGATGTCTCCCTATGAGCCCCACCCTATCAGCTCAGAGGAAGGGTACTCATAGATGGCGCTGTCACAGTGCCACTGTCTCTGCTGTCACTGCCTGGTTCTGAGTCGTCAGGGAGAGTGAGTCTCCCAGACTCCTAGCAACTTTCCCTGAGTCTGGGACTGCCCTAGTCCAAAATGGGCCAGTTTCTGTCTTCAGCTTTCCCTGAGGGGTCACCAGGCACAGTGAGGCAGGATAGGCTCTGTGAAGACGAACGTAAGGGAGCAGGAGAAGCAGCAGATATTGGCCTCCAGGACCAAGTAATGTATTGGGAAGAAAAGGAACTTTTTTGAAAATACAATGTAAAATGTACATAGAATAGCCAAGAAGAAGCAATGTGGTCTCAAGGAAAGGGTGGTCTTGGCAGAATCTTGAGGGGAATCTGGAGACCAAGTTGTGATACCACTGCTTGAGTGCTGCATGGCCTCAAGTGCCTTAGACTTAGGCTTCTTTCAGAGAATTAGGATGATTGACTGAGACAATAAATATGAGGGGAAAAGGTATAAACCTAAGTCCTAGAGCAAACAGAACCTGAGAGGAACTGAAATCAGTTCAGCAAATGTAAAAAGTGACATAAAAAGAAATTTTAAAGCAGTTTTAGTGACTAGTTTAGGATGCATATAAACATATTCAGTTTCCTCTAGAAATCCTCAGAGCAGCAGGAAGGCCCTAGAAGTCCAGCAAAAGGAACTCTTCTTTTCCACTCCTGTGACTTAGTAGTTTTCCTTTGTAATCATGTACAAAAGACAATTATTTGTTAGAGTCATCAATTCTCTGGTACTGAAGTGGAATTCTTAGTACCTACTGGTGAATTCATTATGTCCTTAGAGAGTCAGTGTTGGGTAAGGCTCACAAAGGCTGGGGTCACCCTGTAGAAGTTCACCACCACTCCAGCACTTCGCATACTAGACAGCTATCTGTGGAGAAAATAGTTAATGCTCCAGAGACAAGGTGCACAAATGTTGGTTCTGTCAATAATACCTCTTTATATCTCTCTCTCTCATTTTTTGGTTTGGCCACCTAGTTGAGTGCTGTTTCAATTCAGAAAACTAGTGTAGTGCCGCCTAAGGCACTTGACTTCTAACCAGAAGGTTGGCAGTTCAAACCCACCAGCCAGCCACTCCTCGGAAAGAAGGTGGGACAATCTACTTCCATAGTGACACTGCCTTGGAAACCCAAGGAGGGGTCGCTATGAGTCGGGTCCAACTTGATGGCACATAACAACACTGTATACAAACCACAGTGCGGAGCATTTAAAGAATCCAAAGATAAACAAGGAAAACAAAGGATTTAGCTGTGCATTTAACTCCCACAGTCCACCAGCCTGAGACTAGTGGAGAGCACAGTCTAATACAGGTGACTCTTGACTTTCATGAAGGCTGTATTATGATTGGAAACCTTACACCTCTTTGGACTGAGGAACACTACTACCTAATACACTTCCCTAATATAGTGAAGTAGAATACAATTGGAAATGTTAAAAAACCTTTTCATCTCTTTTTGAAAGAGGAATAGAACTGTAATTCGAAAACCTGGAACAGTGACTGGCTCATTAGAGGTGCTTGATAATTTTTGAATTAATTAATCAACTAATCAGGCAAGGCTGTTGTGTGCTATTGATTCCAAATCATAATGATCCAATAGGGCAGAGTAGAACTGCCCCCATAGGATTTCCTAGACTGTAAACCTTGTGGGAGCAGATAGACAGTTCTTTTCTCCTCCAGAGCAGCTGGTGGGTTCAAATGCTGACCTTTCAGTTAGCATCTGAACTCTTAATCATTGCACCACAGGGCTCCTTCAGTCAATCAGGGCAGAACTACTGTTTTAGGCTGAGATGTAGATTAGAGCTGTGGATTTGGCTCAGCTTTGCTAAGTGATTCCTCCTTAGTTAGGCACATAAGTTCCTCAGCTTTTGATTTAAATCCATGCCTTAATATAGGTACAAAGTATTTCATGTCCTGGAACTTCATGGTTACTCAGCAGGACTTTAAAATGTAAATGTTTTATCCTAGAAGGCCAATGATTGACTATGGAACTGTGATGTTATTTCTAATGTAGTTAATTGTTCATTGTCCAATAACCCAGTGAAGTCCTGGTGCTACCAAAGGTTTTCTTTCAAAAGAGGTAACTAATTATTCCTGAATCAGCCAGTATTTGTGATGGGATGTTTCTCCCATTTCTGAACTGGGTTTAGCCTTCATGAGAATTGGTTGGGTTTTCCTCCTCCCACTCCTTAGTTAACGATATTATTGATTAAGGCAGGTGAAGGCTGTTAAATTATTGCAACTGGCTTAGCATTGAGCTTACCATCTTCAGAGGATCATTTGTTTAGTTTTTCTGGAGAGCCTTACAAGTCGGTGAGCTAGGTAAGGATTATTGTGTGCCAGGGAGTCAATCAATTCTGACTCTTAGCAACCCATGTGACAGAGGAGAACTGCCCTATAGGGTTTCCTAGGCTGTGATCTTTATGGAAGCAGGTTGCCACGTCTTTCTCCCAAGGAGCAGCTGATGGGTTCGAACTGCCAGCCTGTCAGTTAGCAGCCAAGTGCTTAACCATTGCACCACCAAGGATCCTAAGGATTATTAATAGCCCCATTTTACAGCTAAAGAAACCAAGCTGGAGAAATGCTAAGTGATTTCCCAAGATCACAGAGCACAGGACAGCAGAGCAGCAAAACCCACTCAGGACTCCTGGCTCTGCCTTGTTTTTTCTCAGTCAGCCTGCACTACCTTCACATAGCCACTTACCATGGTCTTTTGCTTTGTATTTTACAGAGCACTTCCAGACACTTTTATCTAGTTTGGTCTTCTTTACAAACCTATGAAGTACATGAAAGAAGTCATATAATTTCATTTTACATGTATTCTCCAGATGCTTATTTTTTTCTCATTTTCATCAGGCAAAAGCCAAAGAAGAAAAACTGAAGAAGTGTGGGGAGGATGATGAAACAATCCCATCTGAGTTCAGATTAAAACCTGTCACAGTAAGTTTTTAGCCACAGTGCATAACAGCAGCATGCTCATCTTGCCTTTCTATCATTTGTTGTCATTTCTATACACTTGATGCTAAGGACACATCTGTCCGAGTTCAGATATTACCTCTGAAATTCTTATCTGCCCACTATAGATAGACCCACTGAGGGGTAGGTTATCCCTACCTGAGTTCCCAAAACCCCAAAAAAGAACAAACTCACTGCCATCAACTTGATTCCAACTCAAAGTTACTCCCATTGGGTTTCCAAGGCTGTAAATCTTTACGGAAGCAGACTGCCGCATCACTTTACTGTGGAGTGGCTCGTGGGTTTGAACCACCAACCTTCTGGTTAACCACCAAATCTCTTAACCAGGACACCACTAGAGCTCCCTTAAGTTCCTAAGTACCATTAAAATGCTCACAAATGCAAATGGTTCAGTTATTAACAGTGATTGGCATAGATCCTTTACTTTAAAGCAGAAGAAACAATTTGAGACTAAGTTTTTCTTTACCAGCCATTTGGATAAAAGCACTGTGGGTCTTCTAAGTGGTAGATATAAATGTACAACTATTTACACCAAATCCATTGTCATCAAGTTGATTCCGACATGGAATACAAAGTAGAATTGCCCCATAGGGTTTTCAAGGCAGCTCTCCAGATAATTTCTCCCATGGAACAGCTGGTGGGTTCGAAGCTGACCTTTTGGTTAGCAGCCAAGTGTTTAACCACTGAGCTACCAGGGCGTCTGACAACTATTTATAGGTATCCTCAATTAAGGTGGTTTTTTTACTGATCTTGGTTTGAGGTGAGGATGGTGGACTAGCTTGTTATTAGTAAGTTATCTTTGAAATAATACACATAAACATAGAATAGAAAATTACTATAACTCCTATGTATGCTTATATATGAAAAGTTTTTCATTTTTATAAATATTCTAAATCAAGAAACCTCGTATCTGAAAAATGAAAACTGTTTTAGGAATGATATCTACCCCCTTAGCCCTTGTGTGTTTTTTTATTATTTTTTAAAAATCTTTCATTAATGTAGCTGCAGCTTTCTTACCAATAATTTTTTTCTATTACCCTATCCAATGGATAGAAAAAAATTATTTTTCAGTTAACTTCTAAAGAAAAGTAAACGTCATATTTACTCAAATTTTATCTACAGTATCTACTTAACTATCTATGTAAGCTACTAAATCAGCAAAAACACCTGTTAGAGATATGTAATCAATAATCAATTGCATATCAATACCTTATTCTCATACTTTATAAAGGGTAAATATGAAACACAGATTTACTCAAAATATAAGAGAAAAACGCACTCTCCTCTCATATCCTGGAACTCTCCAAAGCAAACTTTATGGGGCATGAAAACAATTTTTTTTTTCCCCCAATAAATTTTCATTTTCATTTACAGGATAAAGATGGGAAACCATTATTGCCAAAGCCTGAAGAAAAGTCAAAGGTTAGGAGATAAGTTTTACCTTATTTTTGAAAAACGGCCAAAGTGTAAAGTATAATTTGAGATCTTTTTGACAGGCTAGATTTCACTATGGAGACATGTATGCCAAGGTAGTATTAAAGAGAGAATTTCTGACATCAACACTTAGCTGATATCTCTGACTACATTTCACAAATTTATTGATTATTTTCCTCAAGTATTATCACTAGACTGATTAACCTTCTTTGAACATTAGCTGTTGATCTCAGGATAGCTCTAAAACTAGAGCTTGATCCTAATCATAGGCTCACATACTCTAATGATTTTACAGTGCCTTAACTTAGTAGCAACCATTATAGTTACCTGCCATGATAATAATAATTAGCAACATTTATTAATAACTTACTGTAAACATGCCACTGGGTCAGGAGCTTTTCAGTCCTCCCTGAATGAGGAAGCCACTATTATAATTCCTGTCCTACAGATGGGAGCTCTGGTGGCATAGTACCTAAGGCATTTGACTGCTAACCAGAAGGCTGGCAGTATAAGGAAACTGAGACTCAAGTAAATTGCCCAAGATCATTTAGCTACAGAATAGCAGAGCCAGACCTCTAAACTCAAGCTGTCAACGTTGGGACCCAGATGCCATTCTGTCATTGGATACCTACGGTTGTTAGTGAACATCTTTGTGTGAATCATTGAAAGAACTAAGATAGCATAACTTTCCTGCCAAAAACACACATAATCATAGGAAAGGCATATGTGATTTATGTTTCATCTGATTTAGTGTAAAGGGAAGTCATTAGGAAGTAGGAAGGGGGAGAAAAATCATACCAGTAAAAAGCTATTCAGATCTTTGGGAAAGGACAGGCTATTTTATTTGAACAAAATTCTTCTGAAATTTGAGTGTCAGGAAAAATTCTAACTAAACCTTTAAAATTTTTGTGGTCCTGAGATATTTAGTGCTCTTCAGTTTGGTGACATTTTTATCCTACATTGATAAATGAAAAATAAAAACCAAACTCACTGCCTTCAAGTCAGATCCGACTCATAGCGACCCCTTCTTGGGTTTCTGAGACAGTATCGCTGTGGAAGTAGACTGCCCAATGTTCCTTCCGAGGAGTTGCTGGTGGGTTTGAACCACCAGCCTTCTGGTTAGCAGTCAAATGCTTTAGTCACTACACTACCAGAGCTCCATTTTAAAGTGGCTACTAATAACATTTGCTGGCAGAAATACAGAGACTTTCAAAAGTATATAAACTAGGTTTTGGTTTTAGATCCTAAAATATGGTCTAATATATGTTAATAGGAAATAAAATTTCTTTTCTATGAAAACATTTTTTTGAAAAAAGTAAAATTAGTCACTTCATTATATATATGTATATGTATATGTGTGTGTGTGTGTGTGTGTATATCAATTATTTTTTTTTATTACAGCCCCTGAGTGAATCAGAACTCATTGATGAACTTTCAGAAGATTTTGACCGGTCTAAAAGTAAAGAAAAACCATCTAAGCCAACTGAAAAAGTAGAAGTATGTTTCTAATTACGAATCTCTAGGCTTTTTTTAAAAAAAAAAAATTATGTTTTTGTACAAACTTAAAAATATGAAACCAAAGCCCTTGTAACATGAAGCAGTTGATGAAAAGCTATCATGCCATCTTTTCCATGTGCAGCTTTTGTCTTGCCTTTTTCTGAATGCCTTTTTTTCCCCCAAGCTGACCCTGATACTCCTACATTTTAAATCCTCCTTAATCTAGTCATCCTCAAATCAGAGGCCATGTCCTGTAATCTCTCAAATCCTTTCCTTCCTTCTAGTCCTGCTTCTGTAACTGACCTAGTTGTCATAATCTCTCATCTCAAGATTGCAGTGGCCTCTGTCTTTGTTTTCCTCTACTCCATCATTTATGTCCCCCAGAATTAGCCTCTTTCAAACATGTTTGTGATCATGTCAATCCTGACCCTCAGGAGCTACCCACTTCCTACAAAATAAAAAAAGTTACTGCTAATATATTCTGGCCCCAGCTTCTCTTTCTAGCTTCCTTTCCCACCATCTTTTGCCCTGGGGTCACTAAACTGTGAAATTAAGTACCTGTGTGTTTCCCTGCTGTGTCCTCATGCTGCCCCTTCTCTCTGGAATTTCCTTTCTTCCTACATGTGCATTAACTAAAGTCCTCCTCGTCCTTTAAGACTCTGCTAAAACCTGGACTTCTTGCTCCCCTGCTTTTCCCTCCCCAAACCATAACCCTCCCTTCCAACTCTTATAACCAGAATGCAATAGCAGGGGGTCTATACTTTCTTTATATGTCCTTAGAGCCTTTGTTACAACCAAATGTTGGTCCACCTTCACCTCAAATATTTATACACAGTAAATAGTGAACTCCTTGAAAGCAGAGATCATACCCTATTATTGATTATCTGTTGAACACCTTGGTGGGAGTGGTTGTTAGGTGTGTTGTGTTGTTTCCAGTTCATAGCTACCCTGTGTACAGAGAACAAAACACTGCTGAGTCCTGCACCATCCTCACAGTCCTTGCTATGTTTGAGCACATTGTTGCAGCCACTGTGTCAGTCCATCCCGTTGAGGGTCTTCCTCTTTTCTGCTGACCCTCTACTTTACCAAGCATTATGTCCTTTTCCAGGAACTGATCCCTCCTGATAACATGTCCAAACTATATGAGACAAAGTCTCATCCTCACGTCTGTGGAGCATTCTGGCTGTCCTACTTGTATAGAGGGTAGGCTTCCTTAAATGTCTGGATTAAAACCAATTTGTTTGCAATTTATTCTGATGATTAAAATAAAATAGGACAGTGGTTCTCAGACTTTGACTTGAATCAGAATCACCTGAAGGGCTTGTTAATACAAATTACTAGACTCCATTCCCAGAATTTCTGGTTTAAGTACTTTGGGGTGGGACACAAGAATTAGTATATTTCTAACAAGTTCCCTAGTAATTCTGAGACTTGGGTAGTATGACTACCTTACATATATATATATATGGCTATTTACAAAGTGCTCTGGGACAGATATTTAAAAATACATAAGACATTGTATTATACTATATAATTGGTTACTATTTTATTATATATTATGCTATGTGATAACAAATATATATATATATATATATATATATATATATATATATATATATTAACCCTTGAGATGTGGATACTGTCATTGTTCTCATTTTACAGATGTAGAAACTGAGTTTGAGGTAGGTTAAGCACCTACCTAAGGTTAAAAGATAAAACTAAGTTGGAATCATGATACTAAAGTCAGTTTGCCTTGACTTCTTTGCTATTCAACAAATCTGGAGGCATTTGAGAGAAGCATGTTCACAGCATCTAATATAACAGAGTGTATCATTGGTACCCCATGGTTCCTTGCCAACAACAAGATATTTCTAAAGTTATTCAGAGTACCTACTTCTTTCCTCAGGAATCTAAGACCCCGGCCCCAACTCCTGTGGGAGAGACTGTGCCTCAGACCTCAATGTGTAGTATTCAGTCAGCACCACCTAAGCCAGCTGCCTCGGTAAGTTAATACCTTGGACACTGAGTAATGTTTTGAGAAATTCTATTATTCCTTCCGTATAGATTTTGCTATTTTTGCCATTTTATTCTGACCTAATAAAAAAATGTGATACACATGATCAGATTTTATCTACTATTCTTTGGACTTCAGGAATGTGCTAGAAATTCAGGCTAGATTTAATTTTTTTTAATTACATCACTAGAAACCATTTTTCTTTCACCTGAAATTCTTTCTAATTCCTCAGTTATTTGTGAATAGTCATGCTTTTTCACTTTTCTGCATCTTTCAAGCCTATGTGGAGTTGCACAAATAACCCCCTGTTGCTTTTTACTGGCTGTCTTGGTAGAACAGTTTGTACCAAGATCATTACACCTCCTCCCTCCTCTCCCAACTAAAGAAGGCCAATTTAACTCCATTCCCTTCTCTTTCCTTCTTCATTTCTTGTCTTTCTCTCTCTTTCTAATTTACATATATGTATGATATTTAGCTAGTTGAATCTTTGTTTTCCTTTGAACTCCATGAGTTTTGTTTCAGTTAGCTATAACCTGGCTCATAGAATAACATCTGATAGAAATATGTTTCAGTACTGTGGATTTGATGAATCTGCATGCTACTATGCCTTCATCATCTATTATGCTGTTGTTAAAGATGCTTTACAATATCTGTTTTGATTGAATTTTTACAAGAATGCTGTATAGTCTGTTCAGATCATCTTCCCTTTAGAGATGAGGGAAATGAGACTTTGGGCTGACCTTGAACAATCACTTAGCCTTTCAGAGCCTCCACTGAGAGAAGAGATATGGCCCCTGCTGTCAACGGCCTTCCATTCTAGCATGGATACTAGCCAGATCTCAAACTTACAATTTTGTTATTCCCATATGGAAAGAGGACAGAAACAACAAAAGTGAAGGAACCTCTTTCCAGGAAAAGTTAGGAAAGGCTTGTGTGTGGAAGGAAGGATCACACTGAAAAGCAGTAGCACTTCAACTTAAAAAAAAACCTACTACTCAACTTAAAGAAAGTTGAATAGCACTGTTTCCCTGGGTAGAAAGTGAGCTGAGGACAGGCCAGCACTGAAATGTGAAGCACTTGGGCCTTGGGCAAGGGCATTGGGTGCTATGAAGTGGCTGCTTCCTGCCAGGTTGTCTGGATGCCAACTGCAAACACATGAGAGTCCAGGATCACACTCCTGCCTCGAACAGGACTTGATCCTGTTTTTATTTTTTTAGGTTTCAGTGTACTCTCTAGAAACTTTTACACTGCAGGTGCTAGGCCACAGGCCATAGAGGTAAAGAACAGGAGAGGGCGAGGGAATGTGGGAAGAGACTGGCGAAAGGAACAAGATCTGAGGCAATGATTAGAATCAAAAGACAATGGCTAACATTCCAGGGCAGAACTCTTTTGAACAAAACGTGCACCATCTGGGATGGCCAGGGCCTAGCAGGCTCAGTTAGTTGCTTTCCAGATTGACCTTGACTGTGGAGAGTCGAACATTGTAATTACAGTGGACATAAAAATCAGAGCTCTTGCTTTCTCCTTTCCTGGGCCTCTGCCCTACCAACTCCAGCTACAGTTGCCGAGGTTACGATCACTGAAGTAATTGGCATTTCTGGGATTGTGCCACCCTTGGGAGTCAGAAAGAATAGCTGAGGAGTGTGATAAAGGTCAAGGGATTCCAGAAAGGCTGAAGGATCAGTGAGCTAAGAGATAAAGAGAGAAAGACCAAAGACAGTTGAAGTTGTTCTTGTTTGTATGAAAAGAAAAATTGTTGAGAAAATCCAGTGACAACATGAAATACTACAGAAATGGAAGTTTTAGTCCTTAGTCTTGTTTCCAGATTCCTTAGTTTCTTAAGACTGTTTCTACTCCTGGCTTTCTTACAGTTGTTTCACTGATCTCTTAAACCTGAGGTTGACAAAAGGGCATAGATTTGGGAAGCAGTGGCTTCCAAAGATTCTACAGCAGACATTAGAGGGAAAAAAGAAGAAAAGTGTGAACAGGTATCTGGGCTCGGGTAGCAGCTCAAATTAGCTTAGTAAGATTGGGCACAAGGGCAACTCTTGCATTTTAGCTATAACCCCAAACTGGTTAGATACATTGGGGATTACTGTTGCCCCTGGAAAGACAGTCAGTCAATGCAGTGTCCAGCCACCAGATGGCGATAAATTACTTCCCACTCAGTCTACTTTGCGGCATTGAAGAGCTTTGTTTTTGCAGTGCAGTTTAGCAGGAACACAATTTTTCTAACTTGAAATTATGGCTGAGATATATAAACAGAAAAGATGCTTTTATTCTATAATTCCAATAGATACTCAGTGTGAGGTCATAGATTATTGTGATAAGAATAAACTTTGAGACCATTTAATGCAGGGATTTTTATACTTTTGTTTGACCAAGATCAAATGCATATATACTACAACCTATGAAAACAGCAGTTTATTTAATGGAAATTATCCATGTTATGTGTGATACACTCTTTTTTCTAATCTATCTTTTTTTTTTTTTTTTTTTTAAAGTCCTAGTCACAAATCGTTAAAATGATTTTATGGGTCACTAATGAATGAATCTCCTAGAAAAAGTGCAGCTAGAATGCTCCTTGGAAGCGAGATTGGCTAGGCTTCATCTCACTTTCTTTGGTCATGTTGTCAGAAGGGACCAGTCCCTGGAGAAAGGTATCATGCTTGGTAAAGAGGAGGGTCAGAGAGAAAAGGAAGACCTTCAATGAGATGGATTGACACAGTGACTGCAATAATTGGCTCAAGCATGGCAGTGATTGTGAGGATGGAGTAGGACCAGGCAGCTTTTCGTTCTGTTGTACATAGTGTCGCTATGAGTCGGAAATGACGGCACCTAACAACAACAATGAATGAATCAGTGAGCCCTGTTGACACAGTTGTTAAGTGTTCGGCTGCTAATTGAACAGCTGGGAGTTTGAACCCAGCAGCTGCTCTGCAAGAGAAAAGATCTAGAGATCTGCTCCTGTAAAGATTTCAGTGTAGGAAACCCTCTGGGATGGTTCTATTCTGTTATAGAGTTGTCATTAGTCAGAATCGATTCAGCAGTACACAACAATAACAATGAATGGTTTGTGACACAGAGTTTGGGTCTAGCTCTATCTTTTAGCCCAAACATAATTTCTCCTTTATTTTCCCTTTATAACATAGTCTGTGTTCATCCAGCTTAATTTTAAATACCAGAGGGGCTGAGCTCACTGCGTCATGAAGGGAGCACATTTCATTTTGAAGAATGGTACGCAGGTAGGCAGTCTCTGTATGCCATTCAGGTTAGCCGGGTCACAGGCAGAGCCATCTGAATCAGCTGTGGCTCCACTTGCCCAGTAGAAGCCCCACAGGGAAAACGCAGACTCAGCTTGCGCCTCATCACTTGTGACAGGCCAGGCTCTTTCAGAGATTTGGAAAGAGTGTCCTCTTGGGGGCTTTATTGAAAAATCTTTTCTGTGCCATCTGTAAAATGACTTCCATAAAGATCCCTTCTTTTCTTCTCTGACTTTCAGTTTCTCCAGGGTACCTCATTCCTTTTCCTTATTTCTAAATCAAAATATACTGCATTCAATCTTACACATTTTTCAGTGTTATGATCTAACTTGTACATACTGAATGTTTAGTGTAGTTTTGCTTTAATTTTTAACATTTCAGAATTTTTAATAAAAATAAATTCCATTTTATTTGATACATTGTCAGAAGGTGATGTATGCTGCTTATCTAGGCCTGGAATAAGGGCGTGCGATTCTGAGTTGTTTGATGTAGTCTGCTTTAAAAGAGGTGATTAACCATCTACTTAAGATATCCACTGATGTACTTCTAGAAGGACATGGTGCCAGATGATGCTGTAGAAGCCTTGGCTGGTAGCCTTGGGAAAAAGGGAGCAGATCCAGAAGAAGGAAAACCTGTGGCAGATAAAGTCAAGGTAATGGCAGCTCAGATACTTCTAGAAAATAACCATCATTGATCTGCCCCCATAAGTTGTTTGTTGGTTTGTTTTTATGTTTCCCATGAAACATGACCAGGTGGCTTTCTCTGTTAGTGTACATAGTCTGTTCAGCAAGTTGAGCCTGGGTAAGCATCAGTGTTTAACTGCAGCAGTGCATAGAGAGAACTCACAGATCAGAACTTGCCAAGGCTCCTTCTGCCTGCCTGCATTCACATTGCTGAGGCCTCCTGAGAGAAGTGGCAGCTGTTGACTGCTCCTCACAGGCTGCCCTTCAGCCCCGCATGCTTTATGGTGGTGTCTAAACTACAGTGTTAAAGATGCACTTGCTATATGAACTTGAATATAATGCCATATGTAATTCTAACCTAACAATGGATTAATTTACCTCGAATTCAATCTCTCATTCAGTCTCTCAAGTATCCATTTTATGGGGAAAACACTTATTAACAATGAAAATGGTGTAATTTTTATTCAGGAGAAAGCCAAAGAAGAGGACCGGGAAAAACTTGGTGAAAAAGAAGAAACAATTCCTCCTGATTATAGATTAGAAGAGGCCAAGGTAAACAAGCTAGGATCTTTTTCTATTTCATTTTTAGTCCATTCTAGATTTCATACACATAAAATAGGGACAGGGTAATGGATCTGAAGTATGAAGATCTTGTTAATAATTCAAACACCAAATAGTATTAATCCACTAATATCATGTTAGAATCCCACATATGAAACTGAAATATCCATAAGTAGCTTTTCACTTCTCCTTTATGTGCTAGAAAGCTTAACATCTAAGCTTCCTGATTTTCCATCCCAATATGTGGATTGGTATAATAGCAGAAATAAAGCAGAGTTAGAAAATTTTCTATAAAGAGAAAAGCCAAAATGAGAAGCAATTATTCCCTAAAAAAAAAAAAAAAAATGCAACTCTTAGATATAAGCTGAAATAAATAAGAAAGAGTCTATTTAACATTTAATAAAGTGGGAAGCTGGCCTATTTCCTTTACTTTGAGTGTGTAAATTCCAAAGAAGAAGTGACACCAGGGCAGACATCATGTGAATCTGGTAGCTGAGGTACAGACACTGGAACGAACAGGGGCAGATGTGTGGACAATACAATGAACGTCAGTCATCTTCATAGCAAGCCACTACTCAAGAATACTCAGCTTACACTTCATTCATAATTCAGGAAAATCTGATTGATACTCTCCATGTGCTGGTCCATTTATGTGGCACACACAGCAACTATGTGTACCACGTTCTCAGAGTTTCTTAAGGAAATTCTTAAGGAAGAGTTTCCACATGTCTTCATCTATCGTCTCCCCACTTGGAAGAAGCTGGGCAAGTCCAGGCTAACCCTCTTTCTTCCTTTCTATCACAGTTTTTAAGCAAGGAGATGATTAGCCCTCCCTGACCCCGGTGTTCTGCCATAGTTTCACCCTCTTCTGTGCTTACCTCACACGTTACATATGAATATTGCTTTATAACTTTTTTTTTTAGTTGCTGGCTTGCTCTCTTATTTAAATGCCATATTGTTATCTATCACTTATGCTCACATCAGGTCTATTCAGTAAGATTTAGCCCCTTGAGGGAAGACCTCAAGTTTCCTCCTTCCAGCGGTGACTATGGAGTGGCAGGAACACAATTACCATTTGAGGATGGGACAGAAGTGTTCCCATGACCCTATGCATCACTTGGATACATGCTGCTGTTCTGGTTACTTAGTGTCATGCTGACCAGAATATACCACACATGGGATGCTTGAACAAACAGGAGTTTATTCTTACAATTTCGAGGCTTTAAGTCTAAGTTCAAAGTGCCAGGTCCAGGGACTGTGTGAAAGCCCCTTGACCTCGGGCTTCAGCTCTGCCTCTTGTTTCCAGCCCACTGAAGTTAGAGGCATCTCTTGGAGCTCTGGTAGCATAGTGCCTAAGGCACTTGACTGCTAACCAGAAGGCTGGCAGTTCAAACCCACCAGCCACTCCTTGGAAAGAAGGTTGGGCAATCTACTTCCGTAGTGATACTGCCTCGGAAAGCCAAGGAGGGGTCGCTATGAGTCGGGTCCAACTCGACGGCACATAACAATAAACAACAACAACTTCACTCAAGCAGCTACTAGCTACTGAGGCTGACAAGCCCAAGGTTGAGAAATAAAATGACACAGTCCAGATGTTACCAAACCACATGGCAAGCCATTAATTCAAGTCCATTGAAAGTCCCAAAGTTGTCAGAGCATGGCAGACTGTTGAACAACGACACAGCTACATGCAGGGTTCAGGCATGCCATAAGCTAGAGACCATTCCCTAAGCTGTTGCTTATACACAGGAAGCAGACTATATCCCCAAGGCAACTACTCAGCTGCTTGTGGTAGGTCCCACCATGGAGTTGATAGCCAGTCTCATCATGGGGAATAACTACTACCAGCTGCCCAGCCACTCAACTAGGCCCAGCCATGCTGACACACAAACTTAACCATCACAGCTGCCTTTGCAGCTAAGGGGATGGGGAGCAAGCCCAGGTTCTGCTTTCCCTGCTGATGGAGGAGTGGTCAGAAGGTACAAGTTAACCTGCAGAGGGCCATGGAAAAGGAGATAAAGGAGTTTATGTCAGTTAAGAGAGAAGCACGTGATGCCTCTAAACCACAGCACCTTCCCGCATTTAAAATAAAGCAAAAAAAAAAAAAAACACTTGGGCTGATTTCTCAGTAGAAATCTCCATACAGATAGGCTTGTACAGTTTATTTTTGTATATGTGGATAAATAGAATTTGCCATTAATTTATAAGCACCTTTTACTAAAAAGCCTCAAATGTTTATGGTTTCTGCCCTTTAACCTCAGAAATGACCCTTAAAATCATTTTAAAGCTTGACATAATCTTAGTCGGAACATCCTATCCACAGGGTAAGCTCTGCGAGGGCAATGACTTTTGTCTGTCCTGGTTACTGTTGTATTTCCAGGGCATAGTACAGAGCTTGGCACAGAACCAACACATACTAACTGGATGCATGGCTTATAATCAGCTTTCTCCAAGCAACCTTTGCCAAGCCCACCCTCCGGATGATAGAGGACTTCTCCCCATGCTCCCACAGTTCCGTAAATAGCATCATAGCATATGTCACATTATATTGATTGTTCACATATTTTTCTCCTGTACTGCTTTGTGACCTCAGAAGCCATGCCTAACCTGTTTGCATCCCTCATGCCTAGCAAATGCCTGATGTACTGTGAACTTACTGTTTGTTAATATGAGCTAATTTTTTTTACAGTGAGAGAATTCTTATGGTGAGCTTACTCTCTGGTGAGAGTATCTATCTGTTTTCTGAAATAATGTTTCTAGTTTATATATACCTCTTATAATGTACTGATCCCTTGCAATATTTACAGAGGAGACTTGGGATAAAATGTGAAATGATTAAATTCTTTTTTTGTTTGTTCGTTTATTTGTGTGTTTGTTTTTGTTTTCTTTCTCTCTGGATAGGATAAAGATGGAAAACCACTCCTGCCAAAAGAGCTCAAGGAACAGCTTCCAGTAAGCAAACCCATTTCTCTGAGTACATCTTTCTCATTTGGCCCCCGTTTGTTAATTCAGGAAAGCCATAGCTTTCTGTCAGTGAGTTCATCAGCATGTGAAATACCAAAAACCAAACCCATTGCCATCAAGTTGATTCCGACTCATATGACCCTATAGAACTGAGTAGAACTGCTCTGGTAGCATAGTGCCTAAGGCACTTGACTGCTAACCAGGAGGCTGGTGGTTCAA